CTGCTTCTCAATATTTCATATATAAGTCTTTATCAACAACAGTACTAATAAGGAACCTCAGATATCTTTAGGCTTTTTAGAGCCTTGAATCTTTAAACTGTTTTGGTGTGGTCTTGGTTCAAGTGATTGTCAGAAAGAGTTCACAATTTTTTTTTGTATAATGGAATATATATTAATTTAAAAAAATGAACTCATTTCTTATTTTCATTACAAATTTTTTTTGAAATTTTTTTATATATAATCAAAGTTTTTAGAATCACCATATGTTTTTTTTAGAATTATACAGAAATTGCTAGTTCTGATTAATTAAATCATATGATGTTTATATATAAATCATATGATATCATATACATAAAGTTGATATACAATTTGGTTTAGACTGCAGATAAATTAGTCTGAGTTTCTTTTTTTGCTATCTTAGAATATGAAGTTTAAATTTATTCTTTTCTTTATATAAGAGTTATATCCTCTTTTCTTGTAAGAGAGCTGTATATTCTTTGCTTTATAAGAGAGTTAAATTAAATTTTAATAAAAACAGAGACATGGACTCACTATTAATATTCAAAAAAAAAAGTTGATGTACAATCTATTTTATATGAAATTAGAAATTTGTATACTCTACTCTTAATTGTGATTTTCTAATCAACTAAAACAAATTTTTTTTTATATATAAATTTTATTATAAGTCTAAAAGTAGAACACTTATTTAAAACCTTTCTTACTAAGTAAATTACTCTTAGGCTTTTAATAAAAGTTGTAGAGCTTACACAGAGAACTATTTATGATAGCCAAATTTAATATATAAAGCAGGCTATGAAATCTTATGTAGCTATGAGAATCAAGCTTAAAACAGTGGGCGACTTTGTAAAAAACAACCTATCTGAATTATCTTTAATATCATCAAACCCATATAATTCAGATGATTTTTATAATCCTACAAATATTTCTAATATTAATGAATTACATATAATTATATACAATTCTAATATATGCTACAATAAGATTTTATTATCTCTTAACCTCTTTACACTTTCATATCTCTAAATTATTGATTCTTTTATTAGATACCTTGAATTTTTCTACTATAACATTAATAATATATACAATTTTGCCTTCCATATACTAATTAAAGAAGACTATAGCATTGTATATATCTATTCTGAGTTCAAGTATAAATATACACAATGTGGTTATTATAAAATATTAGTCGAAAGCTACAGATATTTTTACTTCTTTCTTCTGTTTACTACTTTTGATATTTACTTACTTAAACCAGAATCCCTTTCTAATATTATTAAAGATGACTGAACATACAACTCATACTATTATATTTAACAAAACATTCATCTTGGTCTTTATAATACTGAACAAACCACTAATCCTAATTCAAGACCTTTTTCATATCTAACAACATGCTAAAATAAATTTCTCAAATATTACCAATTGCCAATATTACCAGAACTACAAACTATTAATTTATTTCTTAGACATCTTAGTTTCTTAGAATACAACTTAAAAAAACATTTCTATACTCTCACTATTTCTGTTAAAAAAGACTATTCTAAAGTATATATTTACTTGCCTTTTAAATCAAAGCTATTACCAAACTACTTTGTATCATGCAGAAAAGCCCTACAATACTAATACAACATCCCTCTCAGATCAAATTATATAATATCTAATACTTTGCCAGACCTTTTCCTACTAATTCTACTATCAACACCTAAACTTTTTACTAACAATATTTTATAAAATCCAAGTCACACTTTCTCAACAGAACCTTATTATAATAATCAATCTACTAGTTCTCAAAACCATAACCTTAATCTACTAATTTATATCTATAATGTACAAAAATATAATAAAGACCTTAAGAGACAAGTCTGGGAAGACTTATGTCTTTTAAATAACCTCAGTATTATTGGGATTACAGAAACTAAGATTTTTAAAGAAAATATACTTAGTCAACTCCAAAAGTCTAGATTTTTTACATATTTTTGATTCTGTACAGATAGTGCCAAAACAAGTATCGTTATTATAATTCAGAACCAACTCAAATTATATATTCACAATATCCTTACTGAACTCAAATATACTATTGCTATTGATCTATTCATCAAATATAATTTTAAGTTCAGAATTATTAATCATCTAAAAAATTTAAAATTAGATTATTATCAATTAAAATCTATAGATTTTAAATGATTCTCATTATCACCATCAATTAAAATTAATTAGGTTTTCATCGATTATAATCGATATATATAAAAAGCCATTGATTATAATTAACTTATATATATAGATTTATATCAATTATCATTATTATCGATTTGATTATGAATCAATTATCAGCACCACCATTGATTATAATTATTTGAAACTAATCAATTATAATCAATTAATTAAAACCAATCAATTATAATCAATTAATTGTTTGCAACTAATTATAATCAGGCTTCAAAATTTCCTAATAATATTTACCTTCCTTGTAATAGTTTTCAACTTTGCTTACAAGCTCAAAACACTATTATCCAATAAATTCAACAAGCTATTTCTCTGAACATTCAACCTATAATTATAAAAGACTTTAATGCTTTTAGTAATAATATACAATCCTTATCCATTAAATATAAACTTCTTCACTTTCTCCAATACAACAATATATATAATCTAACAGTTCACACACAATCTACAAATACTACATAACACAACAGTAAACACAGTAGTAGTTGTATTGACTATATCTGGGCTTATCACTCTGTTCTCTGCTACCTAACCTCATTTTATCTTGAAGATACTAATACTTAAACTAAAAGCGATCACAAAATTCTGATATCATCATAGTCTTTCCCATATACACTTACAAACAAATATTGTTACTTGACCAAAATTAAAAGAAAAATCTTTCAATACAAAAATATAAATGAAAAGCAATGGCTGAACTTCTCAGAACAAATCTCATTCAATCTCAAAACTAATAATACTTCTTATACACTTAACACCTCATTATAATCTATCACTTTTCACAAACTGAATCACCTCAGACTGAAGTTGCACAAATACTATATTGACCTGAAACATGAAGTTTATGCAAGAACTTCTTATTCATGCAAAACTACAAACTACATACTACATCAAAAATACATGCCTTGTAGATTTTTTGTTTTTCCTATTCTTCACCTTCGATTTCAGGTTCTAATAAATAAAATACATGCTAAGTGATTCATTGTTACATAAGAAAAAATACAATAGCTGATACTTACAATATCGAACATTAAATTTTTTTTTTGGCAGCCTTGCCTTTGTTTATTTAAGAATAGTAAAACATTACATCATATAATCATATAAAATCTACTCTATAAGTACATGTATACTTGCTTTCCAACCAAACAAATAAAATCTTTGCTACAAAAATAACCCTCCGAGGCTATGTTGATTTTGTAAATAAAAAATTAAATTTGACAAACATCTAGTTATCCAATTTGAATGAGCTTTTTTTTATTAGTGGAGCTAAATAAGCTCTACAAAATTAACAAGGATCATTCGAATTGGATGACTAGATGGCCGGCATATTTAATCTCTATTCACAAAATCAACATAGCCTTGAGGTCATTTTCTTAGTAAAGATCCCAAATATCAAATAAAATAAAAATCATATAAGATTACAAATTACTTACCAATATAAACTATTTTCATCCATAATTATCCGTGTGCTATCTTGATTTGGATTTTTTTTTTCTTAGAGCACCAAGAGCACTTTCATAGACAAAATTTTGAGATAGAAACAAATTTTTTGTTAATTTTGTCGATTAACCTGTCACACGCGAATTTTTTTAGTGACTAAATCTTTTAAAACATTCATAGGAATGTTATGTTCGTTCATAACAAGAGATCTATATATTTCTTTCTCAACAAGGTTGATAATATGCTCGACAAATGCCCCTTGTTCACTGTCAGTGAAAGAAAATTTTTGTAGAATCACGTGTAGTTTTATAGTCTGCTTGGTGGTGTAAGATAAAAGTTTAGATCTTCGAGCTAGCCAGCCAGCAAACATTGTCATATTGCTGAAGACTTTTTACGGAAGTGTGAAAACCTTTTAATGAACAAATATTATATAATGTGCTTAAAGTTGAGTCAATCATTTTTGATATTCTTTTTAATAACACCGGGCAGCACGTAAAGTGAAAAATATGAAAAATTAAGCTTTAGATAGGAGATGGGATAAAATTATTTATAATGTATTTTTAAAAGCAACGCGTCGCGTAAAGCCTACCTTTTACAGAATATAAGTGCTGATCAAATGATTCTAGATGTTTCAGTTACACATAAATCATGTAAATCATCCAATCATATCATCATAATTTTCCTGGAGTTAGTGTTAAATTAGGATTAGGTTGGGATTTGGAAAAAAATATACCAAATTATCAGGGAATTTTTTTTTTTTGTTAGAGCATGAAAAGCAATTTCAATATTAATATATGTTACTTGGATTTTATAATAATTCTTAAAACTGTTTAATGAATATTCATTTTATTCGCATTGATTAGTCTTTTTTGCATTTAGATTTATGAGTCGCACGACTAACGTGTAGCGAATTTAATACGAGTAATGAATGGTGTGTGAGGCATGACTATTTAATGATCGATCTCTTATAACAAATTCGCGATCATATAATTATGACCTAATCAACGATCGATCAACCTAACATTAATAATACAATAATATATCTAATTGAATCAAATAATCGATCATTCCTTGTTTGTCTACAATGAAATATAAATATAATGTAAGTGATGTAAATTTCCAAAACATCAAACTATTTCAAAAAAAACTTAATGAGTAAAACAAACCTGTGCGCGCCAAGCATGTGCAATAGCCAACAGTCTGAAATTCGGTTGCTGTGCTTGATCATCAGGGAAAATATAGTCAAAGTATTCTTCCCATACGACCCCTTGTCCATCAGTTTCTTCCAATTTCCGTCGTTTCTTCACCACTTTCGGCATCTTCGCTTCAACGGCAGATAACATCTCTTCCGTGCCATTATTACTTTCAAATTCTTTCCACGATTCAAGAAGTAGAACGCGCTACAAAGCAAATATAAACAATTAACGGTTTGAATCTGAGGTGAATATATATTACATCTGTGACTTTACCTCTTCTTTTAATTCTTTCTCTTTCATACTGGCGTAGGCTTTCTCGAACACTTTACGAGCTCGTTCAACAGCTATTTCACGATTTCCTTCATCAGCATTTAATTCAAATTGTGCAAAACTAATCCAAACTTTAACGTGACCGGTTTTTTCCAACAATCTTTCATATAACAGTCTTGTTTTGTTGAATTCTTCTTCAGAAAATTCGAAGTCGATATAAGCTTTCCATAATAATTCCGGCATGTCCAGTATAGGCTGTTCAACAGCAAGCTCGAAAATTGCACGGCAGCGATCATAATCTCCTAGCATTCTTTCTAATTCCGCAAATTTTATCCATGCATAACAATTGGCTGGATTATGTTCCAAATATTTTGTGTATAAAATTCTACAACGATCAAATTCCCGCAGCTTCGAATAGTAATCATAACAAAGTCAGTGATTTTAATTACTTAATATAAGCATTCTAACAATAAACTTATTATACCTGCAATTCTAACTCGATGTATCCTTTAAAAAGCTTGTCTTTTGGACAAACGCCTATAATAAAAGAACGATATGAATGATTAAAAATGCATTATGTTACTCAATACATTAAATAACATAGCGAAGGTTCAGAGCTACCTATGGCATTTCCCAGAGTCTTCCTGGCAGCTTGTAAATTCAATTGCCGTACCTCAAATTGAGCGTAAAGTAACCACATTTTCGCAAATGTGAATTTCTTATGAGGGATCAATTTAATACATTCTTGATATATTTGTCTTGTCCGTTCATAATCCTATATATGCATTTGGGTGCAGAAAGTAAATTAACATCGAATTATTAAATAGTAATAACCATACCAACCCTACCATCGTTTCGAGTTCCTCATAAAGAGCGTAGTAAATCCATAAATAAATATATCGTCGCCAAAATCTTTTTTCTTGTGTTGGCGGCATTTGTGCAATTGCTCGCTCATAAATTTCTCGAACTTTCTGTGAATCACCTGCATTCTCTTCTAATCGTGCATAATCAAACCATATATCATAATTCTTTGAATTCGTTTTTAATTCCTATTATGATGTGAGTTATATCGTAAATAGTATGAATATAGGCAAATATAATGTGGTTAAAGTTAGATTGAAGTATACCTCTTCATATTGTGCCCTTCGTTTCCCAACGACGACATCTTCAATTCCATCTTTGTCTCCGTATTGCTTTTCAAATTGTGTATATGCATTATAAAGCGATTCAGATTTTGATCGAGGCAGTTTTTCCAAAGAATACTTATAAATGACTCGAGCTCTTTCAAACTAGAATATTAAATCGTACTAAAATTTATTTTTGTTATTTTAATATTAATTAATACAAAGCACTCTTGTTAACGAACCTCTTTTAGTCTAGTCTCAAATTTCGCAAAAGCAATAAAAATTTTTTGATCCATATGATCGTCACCCAATGTTTCAATTGCTTGACTAAATATTTCTCTACATTTTTCTGAAATGCATTAATTGAAATTCCGGTCAATCAAAAAAACAATTAAGATTAAAATAAGAAGCACTAATTAAATACCTAAATTATTTTGCTCTTCTTCAAATTTTATCCATTTAAGCCAATTTTTTGGTTCGGGATGTACATTAACAAATCTTTCATAAATTGCTCTGGCTCTATCAATCTCATTATATCTTTTTTCCATTTTTATATACGCATTCCACGCTGATTCATCAGGTTCCCATTGCATCCATCGTTCAAAAATTTGGCGAGCATTTGCTACATTACCCAACATTTCTTCCATATA